GTATATGTATATGTAGCGACCTCTCGCCTTGTCAGCGAGAGGTCGCAGGTTCGAATCCATCGGAGGAATTTTATTACACAATGACTTTTACAGGACTTTATTCGTTGCAAAGCTACAGGGTAGCCTACAATGTTCCATCATGTCCTTATTTAAAAACACTGTATATGTACCTTTGATGATTTATATTATATACAGTATATATATATATTTATATATATATATATACATATATATATATGAACAAAAAAAATAAACAAATAGACATTGGACTATAAAAGGGATACAAAGTGGTAAAGCATGACAGATAGCTTATTGGATTAAGCCGGGATCAAACCGATCTGAAAGCGGTACGAATTGTGTCCAAGGGGTCGAGGCTGCAAGATAAAGTGACTTTCAAGGAAAAGTGACGGAAGAAAGCACACTTATGTGATTAGTTACATCATGATGTGTATAAGAGACAGATATATATATATATATATATATAATATATATATATATATCGTTATCAATAAAATTGGCATGATTATTATCATTATAACAATAATAATATTTAACATATGAAGTGCAAGAGACAGAAGGTTTCAAAGCGCTGTTATCATTATCAGAATCATCACCATTGTCACCATAATCATCACCATCTTTGCAATCACCACCACTATCACATTTACTTTTTGGATGTGGGTTCAAGTTACGTTTGTCTTTATTTTGAAGTGGTCATTTTTTAATGGTATAATAATTAGAAAGAAACCTGTATTATTAATATTTAATATTTTCATTATTATGTCTATTACTTTAATTATTTATATCATTATGTTTATAATTACACTCTTCCCATTTATATACTACGCAGTTCGATACAAAAGGGAAGCATTTGTTGAGATATATATTGTAGGAGAGAAAGAAAACAAGGGCCTCAGCGTCATTTACAATGACGGACAGTTTAAATCATCAAGCATTATATTAGGGCGAATTTTGAGGGGAATAAACATCCTTTAGCCCCAGCCTTAAAATTTTACCAACATGTATATCTTTTACGAATGTGAAATAATATCCTGGTAATTTGGCTAAATTTAAACTTTAATCTAAAACCTCTAAAATATTAGTTTATCAACCAGATCCACGTTGTAAGAGTACCATAGTCCAATGGTGGTGTTGATTCAAACCGCCCGAACTTAGTTAGTAGAGCCTCTCCAACACCCCATTACAAAGAACCCATTCGCCCATGATAGTTTGTGTAATTAAGTCAACATTGACACTATTTGATGGTCTAATTTTATTAATAATTATATTTGGTGTAATTAGAACAATCAAATAGTCTCGTTGTCTAGTTGTAAGGATATAAATGCAAAAACATTGATTCCCCCACCCCGGAATTTCTAATGAAGAAACAGTGGCACTCAAACACAAGGCTGGTGTATCATAATACATACCCAAGGATGATTACAAGCGAAATGAAAGACAACTTAAAAAAAAGTTAAAGCAGCTTAACTAAAAATGGACAGGCTGCATATCATATTAATTAAACCTTTTCAACTATTTTCCAAATAAGTAATAGTAGGAAAATATTTGATTCTTTTTTTATTTTTTGCTTAGGTATAATTACGTTTAAATTAGATGAAGTTTCCAGATTCGGATTGAATAGGAGGCCTACACACTGATAAGCGATATATGCTCTTTTCTAATTTTATTACAACTATTGGTTTTTATTTTGCTGGATCAACACTAATGAAAAATTTCATACCAATTTGATAAATTAATTCCTGTTCCTAACACGCGTGCGTATACTATAACCTTATATCATACAGAACGGACCAGGGGCGGATGCAGGCTTTGGTGGTAGGGGGTGCGTAAGGGTCCACACCAGCTCAGCGCCACTATGGTTGGGGCTGTGGTTATTAGAACATTTTTAAGAATGTGGACCTGTATGTGCCCAGAATTTGCACTCTCATACTTTAAAAACCGGTACTGTTAATGATAAAAATAATATACAAAAATACAAATTCGAAAAACAATTTAGGGGGTACGATCGCACCGCCTGCACCCCCTCTGCATCCGCCCTAGGACCCTGTGACTAGCAAAGTGCTTGTACTGTAAAGCAACATTTAGAACTTTTACATTTTACTTTTAGAATCTAGGGGCGCAGTCGTAAATTTTGCTTCTACTTTGTTATGATCAATAGTAAAATGTACTAAACTTACTGAATTCCAATTCATCCTTTCCTCTCCATCAACTTCTCCAATTGGTGTACATACACCGCATGTAATAACAATCAAAAATATTGTTGATGCTAACATTACTGAAGACATAATATCCAGTTTGAGTATTTCGCTGTGGGCCAGTGGTTTACGATGTTGCTAGTTGCACGTTTAGGTTTGAAATGAAGCATCGCGGTTGAGTGAGCCACCTACAAAGACATGCGGAAATTGTATCTACGGACAATCTCAACAATGATTGGTCGGTGGCAGCAATCCCAAAACTTGTAATATGTTATAATTACAGTATACATAATTAGTGTCTTTACTAAGTACACTGAGTTTTACGTCATTTTAAACATTACTTCTATAAAAAAAATATTTAGTGAGTGAACAATAGCTTTTCTGCAATCCAATACACTACTGTAAATCAATACATTGTACTGTAATTCAATACATTACATGGTCGGCGGTACCGGGAACCGGGTGGGCCCGTCTCCCCCCCCCCCCAGAGACACACACACACTTTTTGGCAGGAAGTTTATGTCTATGGAGATTTTTGTATGATCGTAAAGAAATGCAAGAAAAGAAAGAGGGAAGAAGGAGGAGAAGGGGGAAAAGAGTGTTTATCTCGTTTATATACTGTAATAAGAGTGAGAAGAAAAATTTACCTAGACGTTTTCAAGGTGGAAAGCTTTGAATTTTGAAGAACTTAAAAGAAGTTATTAAAAGTTTAATAACTTCTTTTAATAACTTAAATGAAGTTATTAAAAGACACTTCAGAAGTAGGGAAAGCTCATTTCCCGACATTTAGTCAACATTTTCCCTGAGAAAACCCGTACCCGCCTTTCTCTTTGGGGTTCATTGATTCATGGAAAAAAAGAATACTGTATACAACATGTATACCGGTACACACATAATAGGCCTATTTACTGTAATAAGAATGAGAAAAATTTACTTGACCGTTTTCAAGAGGTAAAAACCTCGAATTTTGAAGAACTTAAGTCATTAAACGACACCTCTGAAATCGGGAAAGCTCATTTCCCGCCAACTAGAAATCGAACCCCCTTTCTTTTTGGGAATTAGCCATTCATGGAAAAAAGAATACGTATGCAACTATTCAGGGGAAAACCATTAAAAAAATCCCAGGGGAGAACCCCTGGACCCCCCTCTAAACCCAGATCCTCCTGATTCATATTCCCATCCATCTTACTAGTGGACCCCCATTTTGAAAAACGTTCCGCTGGCCCTAACAGTATGATATATTGAATTACATGAACAATCACTGTTCCCTTGTAGGCCTATACTGTAATTCAATACATTATACTGTTAGAACACATTGTTTGGTTAGACCATTTATCCCCATAAACAGTTAAAGCGAATTAATAATTTCAAAAGAATTGGCATTCATTGGCAATCAAGTACCACAAGACCCAACCAAAACGTGACGTCATGACATGTTGTATTCACAAAAGACAATTTTACATGAAAGATTCAATTTTAATGGGCTATTTACCTGAATTTTCTTTCTGGGAAATGTTTTATTTAACTTCGTGTTCGTACCGGTATTGATTTGTCATAACTGAATTGGTGCAATCCACATCTCTAATGATGTATCAAATTGTTAGATCGACCTATTATCTGTACCTGTACTGTTTCCTGTTTTTACAACTACAGTATACCGTTGGACCCTATCATATCCGCCCTTTCATGTTGACATTCAAAATATTCACAGATTCCATACTAAACGTAATAATAAGAATACCGTAGCGCTTATGTCCATCCATCCATCCA